CCAGTTACTTAATAAACTCAGACTAAAATACCTCCCTGAAGTTAAACCAACATCAGTATAGCCTCGAGAAATATTTAATTACGAATAATATAGCCATTTCTAAATACAACCTACTCGAGATTTACGGATATCCTTGACTATCCTGGGAAGAAAACTTGTGCCCCCTGGTGTCACCCATCCGTCGACAGCTGTCCTTGTAAACGCCAGAAATTACAACCATAAAACAAAGAGGCGTCTGATGCCATGCAATTTAAGGCAGGAAATGTTGGTTCTGACCACGCCGAGCTCTCTCATTAAAGTATCATCTTGTGTTTTTAAATGTGTGGCCCCAACACTTGAGGGGAGGGAGGGAGGGCCGGCGGCGGCTTTTATCTGTATGTGTGTGGGTGTGTGTGTGTGTGGGTGTATGTGTGTGGGTCTGAGTGTGGGTTATATGGGAGTGATGTGTATGTATATGTAGGGGTGTTGTGTATGGAGGGAGGGGGTATGGGGGGAGGGGCTGTGTGTGTGGGGGATGGGGCTGTGTGTATGGGGGAGGGTTATGTGTATGGGGGGACGGGGGTTATGTGTACAGGGGGGGGGGGCTGTGTGTATGGGGGGAGGGGTTATGTGTATGAAGGAGTTGTGATCAGGTAAACTCATTACCTTTCTTCAGCTGATGGACTACCACCTGAGACATGGACTCAAATATCCAAGTCCGTTAAAATATAGACAAGTCGTTAGGAGGACAGACCAGAGTACTAAAACACAGGTAGTGGGAGGTTTCTACGCCTAGACATGTATGGGGGACAATCCCATTACCTGGGCAGGAGAGCGTAATTTGCGGTCTCACACGGTCCAGCACCTCCCCTCCCCCCCCACACACACACATGGTATATCAACAAGCTACTTCTGTGCTTTTAAATAGTTAAATAAATGACACGAAGAGCAAAACAGATTAAATTACAATACTATTATACCTTACGTTACTACTACTACTACTACTACTACTACTACTAATAATAATAATGCAAAATGTACAGTGGTTAGAGAAGGAGAGAGGAGGAATGGGGAAGGATTTGGGAGTTGGGGAAATGAGAAAGGTTTAGGAGAGGGAGAAATTGGGTGATGGGTGGAGTGGGTGGTGGAGGAGTGGGTGGTGGAGGAGTGGGTGGGGGTAGGGGGTGGGCTGTGAGAGTTAGTGAGAATTGACATGACACAATATTACAAAGAATTATTCAATGTCCACCTGACTAACTTTTTAGCATTGGATTATTTAACAAGCAACACAGGGGAATTACGTAACCCGTGGCAGGGTATGTATGTATGTATGTATGTATGTATGTATGTATGTATGTTTTATAGACGCCCCAAATATACCGTATAAAAGGTCATATTTTCCTACAGGTACCCCATAACTAGACCGTGTTGGTATCGGTACTTTAAAACCTAAGGTAATAAATATATCTTGTCTAGATTGTCGGTATTAATGCTAATTTTTAGGCTGTCACTTCACTAAGATTATACAGTTTAATAACCTCACCTAACCTAACCCAGTCCAACCTAACCTAACCCCTAACGTTAATAAGACATAAAAATATAAAACTGAACATGACAGAGAAACAGACAGACAGATGATAAGTGAATCAAAATATACCATGGGAAGAGGTTTATGTTATCAGGTTTATACTATGCACCATTCATCAGGTTTCTCTTTTATTAGTTATATGGTCTCTCTCTCTCTCTCTCTCTCTCTCTCTCTCTCTCTCTCTCTCTCTCTCTCTCTGGTTCCTGGTCCATGTAATTAAAAATCTTACGCCATTGTACAATTTCTCTCTGGATTATTTTTTGGACGTAAACAAAAATAAGTTCAGTTTTCTGGTTTCCTTTCCTTGCCACTCCTTTCTTTCCTTCCCTCCTCTCTCTCTCTATTCCTTCCCTTTCTCCCTCTCTCCATCCCTCTCTATCTACCTCCCTACTTCCTTCTCTCTCTACCATTCCTCCTCCTCCATTCCTTCCTCTCTTCCTCCGTCCCTTCTCCTTCCTCTCTCTTATAGTTTCTTTCACTCACTCCCCTATCCATCTCTTCCTCTCCTACCATTCTTACTAAACTATCTCTTAACATCTCTCCTCCTTCTCTCACTCTGTTCCACCTTTGGTTCCTATCTCCCTTATCTCTTTTTAACACCCTTACCATCTCTCTCACCCTGTCTCCATCCAACTCTTCCTACCAATACATCTCTCAACCTTATCTCCACACCTTTTATACCTTATTCATCAACAACACATACTTCGGGGGGCCCAGGTAACCAATCACAACACCTCAACTCTAACCTGAGACTTCATTATGTCATTTTTAACCAATAGGCAATGAGGAGTTCACGACGTCATCAAGAGCTTCGCCTACCCAATCAAATATCATTCTTGGTCTTAAAAGAGTGTGTAATGCAGGACCTAACCAGTGTTGAAAGTCTCTGTATCTGATGAGCCACACGCGGCCACACAAGAAGGACGGAGGTGAAATGACGGGGTTGTGGTTTTACAAATGGGTCAGGTCGTCAACTATTCCGAATGATGGTCCTTTTAGATATGAATGGTCGTAATATTCCTAGTGGGTCACATGGTGGGTTATACAGTCTTAGTGGGTTAAAGTCCCAGTGGGTTACAGTCTTAGTAGGCTACATAGTGGGTCACATTATAGGTCACAGTCTTAATGGGCCCCAATACTTGTGAGTCACAGTCTTAATGCGCCCACAGCCCGAACAGACCCCAACCAAATCTAAATATTAAGGATTTGGGTCCATGAAAAAATGAACATTTATAGACCTGGGGCCTGTTAAAAGTTGGGGCCCATTTGATCAAACTCCCGCCGTTTTCCAACACTCCCGACGGTGTAGTTCCTTCACTCGTATTGTCCACAATTTGTGATCGAGACGAGGAAGTTGTGATTACCGTCAACCTGTCCTGCCCATGCGCCAAGATGTGCCACATTAGGCAAAGTATACAGCGTAACACCTGACACACCACCATTACCCCACCAACTCTTACGACCTAATGGCACTCCGCCGCTCAAGATGACACAGGCGATACGCATCATTTAATATAGTTTTAGATTCGCTGCGCTGATAGGCATTAATAGAACAACCAAAAAAAACGAAAACAAGAACGAATGGCCCTATTGAGTGAAAAGTATCGGTGGTCAGCCACAGGAGGTCGTAATCACACACAATAAGGAAGGAGGAGATATCATCTGGCCGCAGCAACACCTCATAGGGTTGGCCTGGGTCCCTCACACCCTGGACAGACACACACACACACGCCCCCAGGACCCAACGCTACCCACTAACTATCACCCTCAACAACCCACAAATACCATTATATTTTAATGGCAAGGCGTACTGATGATGCTCTCGATTGTATACAATTTCCAGTCCAGATTTCAGAGATGTGCTTATTTAAACAGCGTCTCGTTTCCATCTGAGCCATCCAAATTACAGACATATGTTTTAACGACCAGCAATCCAGCCATAGTTTATGTGGGGTGCGAGAGACGTAGCCACTGGGAAAATTATGACCGGATTCTTTCCCCCCCACAGGTGAGATAGAGACCTTCCCGATGCTTTATTTATGACACCTTTTACGGTTAACACCTCTCTTGGTGTCTGGCCTCTCAGAAAATACATTTAAATCTGGCCTAGAACATCCACTGGCTTGATTATGCATAATTATGGACCAATAAATAGTTGATGATGTTGATGGTGTTCCTCCTCCTGACCTCTGTGAACCTCCAGGTGTACCAACACTATCGTTAACACACCGACACAGGAGTACCAACCACTTTGTAAACAGAGGAACAGCAGCCACGTACCAGTAGCAACCTGTGATGGATACCCCGTGATATTTCTCACCTTCAGAGCTTTGTACTACCACAATCTGAGAACCCGACACGATAAATAAGACAGTAAAAGCATTTAAGACTCCATAAATTGAGGTGGATTAACACACACGGGACGACACACTCACGCTCTCGTATATTATGTGTTGTCATGTAGGTTTGTGGAGCGAGAATAAGAGAGAGAAAAAAACTCTTGACTTCTCTAATACTTCATTTTTCACCCAGTGGACGACGTGTTGCCTTCAAGAGCAGAAACAACCACATGAGTTACGCCACACAACATAATACTATTCGCGAATACGCAGGCGTCTCTTGTACAACACACTTCACCAAAATGACTATAATTTTCTTCTTTCTCAGGTACAATATTGACACCGTTTTAGGCAGTTCATTTTTATGGGTGTGGTAGCTGTATGTGGATCAGTCAGGTGTGTACTGAGGGCATTAGTTAAGGCAGATATGTGAGCCGTACGGTACCTTGAGAATCTCTCTCTCTCTCTCCCCTCACAACCACCACCACCCCACAACAACCATCACCAACAACAACCACCACAACCACCACCACGCCTCTTTCTGCAACCTTTCTCTCGGAAGCGCAAATAACGGCGCCTAATAACGTGGTGCGCGTAAATGCTCTGTTATTGAGCGTAATTAAAGCCCCGAGACCCGAGTAACCTGGGGGACCTTCTTGACAACTACGCCATCCATAACAAGTCATAAAAGTTGAGAGAGAGAGAGAGAGAGAGAGAGAGAGAGAGAGAGAGAGAGAGAGAGAGAGACCAGCAGTGTTGAAAGAGAGTGAACGGACCAGGTGTGTTGAGAGTGAGAGGACCAGACAGACAGACAGACAGACAGACTATGGAACGCCGCCGCGTCAAACCAAAGAGTTTTAGCGCCGTTCCTTAAAAGAGGGTCTTAGCACAGTCTTATTGGCACCGTCTTGACCGAGATTTTAAGAGGACAGTCACATCACAGTCGGCGCAGTCAGTCTTAATACGGTCATGGGCAGAGTGGGTCTAGTCTAAGCTCAGTCTTAGGCATGTGGCAAAGTCTGATGGCTAGAACAGTCTAGTCGACATAACTGACGAATATACTGTTGGTCTTCAACATATGTACTCGTGAAATATATGACAACGAGGACGAGAACAAGGACGAGAACAAGGACGAGAACAAGGACGAGAACAAGGACGAGAACAAGGACGAGAACAAGGACGAGAACAAGGACGAGAACAAGGACGAGAACAGGAGAGACAAGGACGAGAAGGAGGACGAGAACAAGGACGAGAACAAGGACGAGAACAAGGACGAGAACAAGGACGAGAACAAGGACGAGAACAAGGACGAGAACAAGGACGAGAACAAGGACGAGAACAAGGACGAGAACAAGGACGAGAACAAGGACGATACTAATGACGAGATTCATCCATCGGTAATATTTTATCCATCACTCAAGTCAATCTCACGGCCCATCTGAGTGAAAACTGTCGTAATGGTGATACAGAGAGACAGGGTGAATGCCAACAAACCTCTCAAAGGCGACGTAGTAAATAACAGTCTCTTATAACTTAACAATATATAATGTTTTGATTACTATATAGATAAAAAAAAAAGGTCAAGCAACACAACCACAACTCTTTTTAAATTCCAAACAATAGTTGTGTTAGTTATTACAACCCTTAGACCAAACTAGACACCTGGAACACCTTATTTCAAGAGACATTAGTAATTATTACCTTGATGTAGATTAATAAGTTGCCTCAATTAAATACCTTCAAGGGGTGATGTTACCTTAATTAAAGAACAGAATCGTTATTGATGTTGATTATGTTTTCTAATTAGTGTTTAATGAAGGTATCTAGTTAAGGTAGAGTTTAATTGGATGTTATATAAGTTTTGTTTTTTCATTAAAAGTTACACACAAGATACAAAATGGTCTAAGGCTGATTTCTAGGTCCTTCATTACACACACACACACACACACACACACACACACACACACACACACACACACACACACACACACACATTTTACATACAATTCCACTGTTATTTCCTAATTTAACACCCGTCACAATGGTAATAACTAAAATATTTAAAAAAAAAATAAAAATTAATTTTCACTAAGGTGTATTCTAACTATAAAATTGTATAAGTAAAATAATAATTGTATTGAGGAAGTTGTGATAAAAAATGTAAACCGGTTTTAATGACAGCATGCGGTTTGGAGTTAATTACGACAACAATGTGTTTTTAATAATAGAACAAACAGAAAAAAAACAAAACATGGGGTGACTATAAACATACAAACAGGCAGAGAAAAATACACCCACATACATAAACCAAATATTGTGTACATATATAAACGATACATATATATTTTACATACATATAAACACTACACATGAATACTATACACACAAAAAATTAGACAAACAATTAATAGATAAGACTACAGACACACATATAAGTATAGATTATTATATACAGATACCCGAATATAAAACCACACAACCCCTTCCACACACACACACAAACAACAAACAACTCACCCCCCCCACACAAACAAAACCACACACGCCCCCCTCCCCCCACAACCCCCCTCCTCCCAAACAAGCAAAACCATTCATGGAAAATAATTTAACTAAGTACCCCCCAACCACACGGAAAGAGTTGCGTCGAGTCCTGTATAATTGCACAACTATATTTTATGCACGCTGTTGCCTCTGTACTAAGTCCTGTTCAAGATTTTTTCACAGTTACAAGAAGAGAAAAAAATTAAATAAAACACCCAAATTTTGGACACGGGAATATAATTTAAACACACACACACACACACACACACACACACACACACACACACACACACACACACACGTACGTTCAGACTACTTTTATACATTCAACTATTGAGGGAAACAGATGCGAGTATTTTATTAGTGAATTATATTAGGTCTAAGGCGTTTAAGTGCGTATGCTGGGTTAGTAAACACATTAACTAATAAATATAAATTAAAAGACATGCCTTTAACTAATTCGCTTTATGTTTGTGCTTCTGTTTAGTTTAATTTTATCTGTTTTTACGAAAGTGGGTGTAAGAAAAACTTAACCTAACCTAACCTAACCTAACCTAACCTAACCTAACCTAACCTAACCCTGCCTTGACTATGTGACTCTTATAACATTAAAACTAATATGGGGAAAACAATTAATTCATATATATTTTTCCTGGTGGAGTTTTCTTATGTGGGATTTTTTTTTTCTCCAGTGGCAATATTTTCCTCCGAGTATTTTTTTTCCCAGAGAATTTGTTCTGGTGGGAATTTGTCCAGTAGGAATTTGTCTGGTGGGACTTTATCAACAGGGAATTTATTTTGACTGGGAATTTGCTATGGTGAGAATTTATTTACTGAGAAACTGCCCGATCGAATTCTTATCGGCGACGGAGGAGGGAAGGGGGAGGGGTGTATAGTCAACACCCCCCTGGACCAATAATAATGGCGCCTGGCTGCTCCCTCATCAGCCTCTCAGCCTCCACAGAACACAACCTCCCCGGCGTTCAAAGAGGCTGTTAGGAGTCATTACCCATAACAAACTACCTTGTTACACCGGTGTCACGAGTCTGATTACTCTCTTGATGGCCTCGTAACGACCTAATCGTCAGGTGGCGGCTTGATCACAGTTATCAATAAAAGCCGATTGGAAAAAAAAATGTAATAATATTGGAGGCGGCGGCTTGTTTCATTTGCCAGGTGAGGGAGCGGCTTCACGAGGCGTACAGGGGCAAGTGATGACCCTCATTAACAGTGTCTAAAGTACTCGCTAAAGCTAACTGTTTGTTTCAGATTTACCAACAAAAATATAAATGTTTGGTTATTTGAAAATACGGCAGAATTTTTCTATTCTACGTTGTGCATTCTAAATTACTATAGATAAACGCTCGTTGTTTATTCTACAGTAAATCACCCCAAAACATTCTTCTAAATTACTCTAATTATGTAGTCAAAATTTCGCCAATAAACTCCTCGTTATGTCCAAAGTAATCAAAATACTATTTTTTTCCTAACATAACTCAAAATTTAATCTAAAAATAATGTATAAAAAATTCGGAAAAAAAAATAATTCTGAAATAATCTGTAAACTAAATCTTAATTCAAATATGGTGTAAACATTTTATGGTTATTGTGAAACAGAGTTACAGGTTAAGATATAACAACAAACTATTCAACTTGGGATACAGAAAAAACTATAAAAAACTACATGATAAAAAATATATAGATTTTAGGTAAAAATTAACATTATTTTGAGACAGCCAACGACTAGTTATTACTCTACTGATATATAGTATAGGTAAAAAAAATTCTTATAATGATTAAGTTAGGAAAATATTTTGTATAAAAGCTGCAAAACAAATTATTCATGTTAAAATAATAAAATATAATTTATATATTTGTCTTAAAAAAATACTGATGAAACTAACCCGATTTGTTCTGGAATATAAGAAAAATACATTTACTGTGAATTACAGGTACTATCCATCTATTGTTAATTGCAGGTGACAACCATTAGAAATACAGGTAAAACCCAGGTGTGTCTTCAAACTTAGGTAAAACATTTTAATTTGAATATAGCTAAAAACACGACGCATTTATGATAAAAAAACAGATGATTGGCGAACACGTTCTCCATACAAGTTGAAGCTGCGTCACGTTCCCATGACAGCCATAGCTGGCCGCCATGTTGAGCATCAAGCCAAGTTGCGTCAGCTTTCTGTAGTAGCGTGTAATCCAGACACCCAAAAAGATAGCGTACTGTACTACAGATATTCACCTGACGTCATATCTAGTAAAGTCATCAGGTAAATTACGACTTACAGCTAATAAACATCTTAATTAGGTTCTCCTCACAAACATACGTACAAGTTAGGGACCAACACCATGACATAACAAACATGTATTCAAGATTTTAATCGAACTCTGTACACATTTTGGATGGGAGGAAACGGTAATAAAAAAAATATCTTTACCTGTTTTGGCCTCAGTGATTATTACCTGTACTCATAACGCAACAAAAAGGTGATCACACTCCTCCTGAGACAGATGATGAGGTTTGTCGTGAGTAAATCAAGGAACAAGAGAGAGAGAGAGAGTAAATCGTTGCGTGTTAGAGTAGGTGGGGGGGAGGGTCAGAAGGGGCAGGGGAGGAGGCAGGGGAGGGTCAGGAGGGGCAGGGGAGGAGAGGGGCAGTGATCTACACCAGGTAGCGGCATGTAATATCCCCATTAATTACCTGACAAGTCTACCTTTATCCCAGGACCAGGTGTATGAGGCAAAATTTTCTATTCGAAAATTAGCCAACAGAGTCATTAACTTTACAGGTTAGGTTAGGTTCCTCCCCACCCCTGTTACCCCAAATATCCCCCTCCCCGGTGTGTGTGTGTATTTGCTTCTTCAGGAGGAATACTCCCCTCCCCTTACCTACTGTACACATCCCCCCCTCGATACACACAACTGCGGAGAGAGATTACCTTACCTCCCTCCCTCACTTTCCTTAAGCTCCTTCCTTCCTTCCTTCTACCGCCACATCCTTTCCTCTCTCCCTCCTCCCCTCCCTCTCTCACACATACATACCTCCCCCACCCCCCCCTCTACTTCCTTCCTCCTCCCGACACAAATTCTCCCTTAACTGCAGTTCTTCATCGCTAAGCGAGTGTGGCCGACGCTCAGGAAAATTGGTGAAGTTAACGTCGGTAGCAGGCCGCATCACTCCCCTCACCATTAAACCTTACTTAGAATAACTAACTGCCTCCCTCCCTCCCCCTTACTCTCATCTCCGCCTCTCTCTCTCTCTCTCTCTCTCTCTCTCTCTTGTAACATAAGAAATAGAAACACTCCCTTTAGGTTAGGTTAGGTTAGGTTAGGTTAGGTTAGGTTAGGTTAGGTTAGGTTAGGTTGTGATATAAGGTGGGAGTTAATCTTCAAATGATCCTTTATGCTTTCCTACATTCTTCATTACGAGTCATTAACCTGAGGTACAGCAGGGGTGGGGCAGCGTGAGGGGGTAGTGAGTGGGGCAGCGTGGGCAGCGTGAGGGGTAGTGAGGGGGCAGCAGCGTGAGGGGTAGTGAGGGGGGCAGCGTGAGGGGTAGTGTGAGGGGGGCAGCGTGAGGGGTACAGCGTGAGGTAGTGAAGAGGGTAGTCAGGCAAGCTCAGTGCTCTCCCAGCAGTCTTCCTGCTCTTTACCGCGAGGAAGTGCATATCACATTTACATGAATTACCGCTCATGAGGTGGGCGGCAGGGGAGCCGTTTTACCCGGCAGGTCTGCTCTACCTCTCTCTCTCTCTCTCTCTCTCTCTCTCAGCTTCGTACGTTAAAAATTTTCATATGACTTGAAGATTAGCCACCCTAGTTTATTTCACCTGTTAATTAAACAAACTAACCTAGCCCCCCTAGTTAGTGTTAAGGTGTGTAATCATCA